GCTCAAAATATAATTCTGTATATAAAAGAAATCCTGTGGAATTCAACTTAAAATCCTCAAAAATAAATGTGTTCAGCAAAAGTAGCAGGTTATGAGTTCAATGTAAAAAAATCAATTGTATTTCTATATACTAGCAATAAACATTCTGGAAACATAACTAAGAAAATGATACCATTGGAAATAGGATCAAAAAGAATCAAAACCTCTGGAAAAAATGTTAGGAATGTAAGTGTTCTAATTTTATACTGAAAACAACCAAATATAATGAAAGGACAAAAACACAAATTTTAAAATAGCGTAATGATTTAGATATTCCCTTACCAGCAGTTCACTGTGATTTTTTAGAGCCTAGGGTTGATAGGAGTGAAGGCACCTTGTACTTGGTCATGAGAGTTGAGGTGGCGAAGAGGTGATAGAATTGAGAAATATGTGAGACCCAAAAACAAATGAACAAATTCACATATTTGTGTGACTATGAGAGGATACTGGACCAACCCTCTTTTCCAAATATCTAGATTGTGATACTTGGAAAACCTTTGTTGATAGTTATGAGAAGAAATAAACACACACACACACACACACACACACACACACACACACACACACACACACACATGGGATTTGCCCTAGTTTTAAGTTTTCTGTGTGTGTTGTTTATTGGCTGTTTTTGTTGCCAGAGCAGGAAAGCATTCTGTGTTTGAGGAGTCAAGTTTGAGAAACATCAAACAACCAAGAATAGAACTCATTAGATATAGAGAAGATCTGGATGAAGCGAGGATAAAATCCAGAACCAGCATTCATCTTTGAGCACAGGTGATGCTGTCTAGCAAGAGAACACCAATAAGAACAAATACCAAGTCTTGCACATGGGGTCATTTAAACTTAATTTTGAACTCCCAATGGGGACTAAAAAGAAGGGGAAGAGGGTATGAAGAGAAAATAGGGACACCAGTGTTACCAAAACCAAGGAGGAGTTTCAATGGCTACTGAGAAGTATATAATAAGTCAAGGACTGAGTGTCTTCTGGATGGAGACAGGAAGCCATTGCTAACCTGAATGAGCTTCAATTAAGTTCTCCACACTCCCTTGAGGAGCAGACCATGAAGAACACCACTTCTTGACATTGGCTTTTTTTTTAAACCAAAATTATGAATAAGGGTTTCATTTCCATCTCTGGCATTTGAGTACAAATTTTGCTCCAGCCATTGTGGATACAAGTGCCACAATGTGGTTTCTGCTCTCCATCTTACTTACAATGAGTTAAGTATGATAACTAATCAATCAACACAGTCCTGGAATTCCAAGTTAATATAAAAATCACAAAAAAATTAAAGGTCTAAGTGTTTTTAGATGACAGTTACCTTGTTACAAAAGGCACACTCATGAACCTTAAGAGAAACCAGATGGGTAAAACAGGATCTCTTCTTCAGAAACCTAACCCATGCAGTTATGGGAGCATAGTCTATAGGAGGAAAAGTATCAGTGCTCAGTGGGGAAATAGAGTATCTTCAATTTTAAACTTTATCACCACTGTGTTGGAGGACCTTTGATGTCAATTTAGGTAAATTAGTTAAAAATGACAGAAGAGGGCCGAGTCAAAGAAAATATTTGTAAACTGGAACTTCCTGTCTGAACAAGATGACAAGAACCATTTTTCCTCCTCCTATCTACTAAGTTCAACTATAAACTATGGAATTTACCTAAGAAACA